GTAAGAAAACAAATTACTCAATTATGCGCTTCAGGGAAGCTACGTAAAGAGAAACGAAGAAATTGAGGAAATACTTTTTTTAGTGCCTTTGCAACCTTAAAAAGGACTGCTACGACCAAACCAAACAACATTTCAAACTACCGGATACTGCTGAGGATTATTTTTAATCTTGTCAATTTGGCTAAGTGCAGTATTGTAAACTGCTCTGTCCGACATGATGGTAACCTCTTATTTTAACCATACAATAACCAACTGTACAAAGTAGCGGTACAATACGTAGAAATATTTTTCTACTTAGTAAAATCCAACTAGTGGTCTATTATCAATGCTGCGTTCTGATTGGTTGAGTGCATGAGCAACTACTAGGCTATATGGGGTGTTATAGCCCACTAGTAGAGAAAAGCGCCGGCTTTTTGGCGGCAAAAAAAGATTAAAGTCTAGCTTTAACTAGCAAAAGTTGTTTTGTCTTGATACTTTTTTACCAACTAGTTGAATTTTACTTAAACAATTATTCCTCTCGCCCTCATGGCCTCCGAGTCAATAGCCCATTCAGCCTGCGGCCTCATGGGCAATTGACTCAGAGCCCATTCGTGCTCGAGGAATAATTGTTTTTTTGCGTTTTCTGTATAATAACGAATACAGTTGGATAATAAGAGGTTATAATCAAGTTTAGATTGTAAATGACCGCCGTATTTCGACACATTGTTTGTGTCTTTTCTTTGCTTTGGAACAAATCGGCCGAAATCTGATAAAAAGCAATAGAAATCATCAGAAAAATGTAAAAACCAGGAAAAAAACGGATCGATTTTTTGCAATTATATCGCGAGTAAGTCATTTTTGATTTGAACAACAGATTATAATAAAATCCTTAATAGACCAATAATTAATTAAGGTTAAATGTACTAAATTTCTTTTTTTATCTATTAAAGCATTTTACATGACCTTTTTCTGGGAGAAACTTCTCTCAAGGTAGTATGTTCGCAATATATTTCAAACCTGTATTAGCAGTTGCACTCGCGAAAGCAAAACCCGAGCGGCTCAGTTCACAAAACTTTGAAACTGTCCCACTAATAACTCTCACAGCGAGAAAAGAATGAAAGCTCGCGTTTTTCCATCTTCAACAATTTAGTTTGAGAGCAAGTTATATTTTTTCTCTCTTCTGTTAGATACAAATGTTAAACGTTGTTTTAAATTAATAAAAGTATTGAAAAATCTTCAGCAAAACTTCGAGGCCCTCTTCCATATTTGGAAGGCATGCTGGACCGATGATTTTGTGAGGTCAGTACGTCAAAATCTCGCCGTAAAAACCAGGGGAAGAAAATATGTCAAGAGTCGTATTGTAAACTAATTCGTGTGTGCACCAGCAATATATAAATTTGAAAAAATAAGGCTTTTTTCCCTGGTTATCGATGTCTTGACTTGAGGTTGGCTTGCAGTATTTTAGTCTGCCAAGTGTTACACGTGTTCGAACTTCGCCCGGTTGTAAAAATCATATAGTAATCTTATCGAGCAAGAAGGTTTCATTTCTAGTCGTTTTTTCCCTTTAAGAAACAATTAGTTTACTTTAAAGGCTTTCAACAAAGACATTTGGCAACGAAATATCCTATGTATTAATACTAGACTTGCTGGGATACGAATTTTACACCGAATTTAATGATAACTAACAGCTAGTGATTTACCTCAAGCGCTGGTTTCAATAATGGATGGAGCGACTTCTGGAATTGCGGTCACTCGTAGGTAGCTTTCTTGCATTTGGTGAAGTGAAGCTGAGGAAAACGGATAAATAATGTAAACTGCTTTATGTTGAGAGCGCTCAGTTCTCTCTTTCTCTCTCGCCAACAGCCGCAACTGAAGTTACCAATTTTTGAATGTGGCGCGGAGCAAACAATTGATTAGAATAACAATTCCTGATTGGATTTTTCTTCTGCACGTGTCTATGTAGCGCGAGCAAGAGTTGTTTATCACATTTTGGAATTTGTAAGGAAAATGAACATCTCAAAAAAAAAACTTTGTAAAAATATATGACTGCGCCCAGGATTTTCAAAGGCTTCACGAACACAAAAAGACTCGAAGGTTTTCAACAGCGACAGCTATAAGCACCCTGACATAAGCTTTTAGTTCTGTTTAAACTATATTTTCGTCGCATAACAAGTTTTCACTATCAACGTACTGTGTGCTTCCTGGTTTTGCCTGTGAAGATTGTCCTAATTAGGTATTGTTTTTCATGACCAATAAAAACTTAGCAAAACAAAAACTAGCTTAGGTGACTGAGTATAAAAAAAGAAGAAGAAGAGAAACTAAATTCGTTTAGAATCATGTGAAAATTCTTTTCCATAGGTTACTCCTAGCGACGGAAGAGATACTTTCTCACTTGGTCTATACGTGCGTGTTCACAGACCGTATATTTTCTCCATTCGCGCTAAAATAAATAAAGAAAAAAAGTAAAGAAAACCAGCGCCTATTGACCGCTAGCACAAGGGTGGGGTGGAGTTAGGTAACTGAGAAAATAGTCTTTTTTCTCGCGCGCGCTCGAAAGACTCGTCGCAAAAGAAAGTCTTTGGACAGGCTATACTTGCAGACGATCTGGGCTTGCCTTGGAGCTTCTTCTTGTTAAAAGACACAGCAGATTTTGTAGTTAAAGGCGCCCATGCCGTTGTCCCTTTCGTAATCGTTGCAATTATTAAGACACTTAGAAAATTTTTCACTTGTTATTGAGAGTGTTCCTATTAAAAAAAAAAAAAGAAAATAAGAAACCGGGGAAGATCCCGGACCGTTGGTATCCTTAACTGTCTTCCTTACCACGACATTACCACACCGACCTACCAAAATTCCGAAAAAGTTAAGTACATAAACCAGCAAACTGTTTTTCTCAACTGATATATCAGCAACAGATGACCCAAGCTCTTTTTAAAACTTTTAACGCAACTTCAACTTGAGCTTGAAAGTCGTTCTCTCTAAGACTATTAAAAAACGTTACCTTATTGTAACTTAATCCAGGGAATATATTACAGAGAATATAACCATCCGCGACTGAAGGCTTCGACCGTTAAAAATGGCAACGACCATTTACTAAAGGGAAACAGCCGAAGCCGAGAAAGAGGGTGAAGTTTTTAGAAACTGCGGGTTCTTGTCCTGTAAACAGGGCGAGGGTTTTTCGCCAGGTTCCCTCGCAGGCTATCTTATTTCAGTCACTGGTTTCAAGAATGTGGTATATTAAAACAAACATACTATTTTTAAAGTGCTATTCTTTTGTTATTCAGTATTCAGTCAGACCCAAAAAGATGGTTTTCCTCCATTCCATACCTTTTTTTTTTTTCGGGGGAAACAAGGTG